AATTTCATTTTCATCCATTACCAAATCTTGTAAAATTAGTGAATTGTAATAAGGTGTTGAATCATTTTTTGAATCTATATTACCTATATATTTTTAGCAATTTTTACATTTCATACTTAAAAATATAAAAATATATATTAAATTACCATTTTCCACACTTGTGTTAAAATACCATTGACAATTAATATTGTTGGTACTTGGAGAAAACTTGAGTAAACTGTAAATATCTCTTTCAGGAACAACTCGTAAACAAAAACAGCACTTTTTACCTAAAGTACCGATTGGTTTTACAATAAGTGCAGGTAAATAATATGAATGACTCCCAAAAGAAAATTGTAAATCATCATTGTCAATCATAAATGGTATTTTCATTAATTCTTTAGCAAGGCAGTGCAGGTAAAAAGCCTTTTTGCGTAAATATTTTTCATCAGCATAGTCTTTTTTATGGAAAAATGTCTAAATAATTCATTAACATTAATACAACTTATAATTTCAGTTTTAAATAATTTATAATATACTTACTTTTCCCATTACAATTGATACATCAACTTTAATTAATGGCATTAACGATGTTCCCAAAGAATGGGAACCAACAATTTTTACAGAACAAGGCTTAGTAAAACGAAAAGTTCCATCGTTATTATTTTGAGGGTTTAGATGGAATGGTGCACTAACTTCAGATGTACTCATATTTGATAATAATTCCTGAAAACAGACATAAGTAAATATTATTTTAAACCAAAATTGCCTAGAAAGAAACTCAAATTATTTTCACAATTTAGGTATCTTCTAAACATTATTGAGTTTTCAATATATTGTTGATGAAAAATGTTTAAACTTAACTAACTATAAGTTTAATATTACAAAAACTGTAAACAATATCAACATTAGAGAACCAAATATGAGAATTTAAATAATAGGGAACACTAAATTTATTTTATAATCAGAATTTGTCAACCATACATAACTTTTATGTTTATAATTCATTTTCTAATTAAACTAATAAGTTTTTTCAATTGATCCATTGAATAATAGAAATTTGATTTTGTGGTATTTTAATGAAAAAAAAATATGTAGGTAGTTTGGTAGAAGGGAATGACGTTATAGTAATTACTTTATTATTAAATTATGGTTAACTTGATTTTTAGAAGTTTAATAATAAGTAACAGTCGTTTCAGGCTCAAAAATATTCAAACCAATAAAATGAGTAGGTATAACATTTATTTGCAAAAATATTATACTAGGATTGCTAAGATAACAAACTGTATTATTTTACACTAAATTCTCATGTTTCAACACACAATAAAAACCAGACACCTAATGGCTAGTGTCACTCAGTGTGTCAATAAGGTAAGTGGATTAGTGAAATTTAAAAAGAAATTATTTAATGCAAATTTTACTAAGTAATAGCTATTCAGATAAAGTACTTTTTTATAATCTGTGGTGTCCATATCTTGTAACACAGCTATGCTAAACTTATTGAACCATTCTTGAATTTTGTCTAAAGTAGATTGTTTTGGTTTTACTTCTTTCAACATTTCATCAATTTGCATACGAAACATATTTGACAAGAAGAGGTTTTCCGTTTCCCGGAGCTTATTCAACTCTTCAGCCGTAGGTGGCTTAATCCTCTTTCCTCCTTCAGGGTTTTGTTTCTTTTTACGTTTCTTGCCATACTCGTCACCGGTGGTCGGCTCCATCATCGGAACGGTGTCCAAAGTCATAATGAAAAAGTCAACTGATAGTCTGAAAGGGTGAAGTCAGCAAATGAGTCTCGTAGAACAATACAGATGAATAGACTATAGACGATCTGTATGAGAGTATGACCGTATGAGACGTTATGAGACAAGAGTGCAATTGCACGTGCACGTGTTTACTTCCAGTATTCCACAGTTTAGGGTTTCGTTGATAACAAACGAAAACAAAATATGATAAAATGTTTATTAAACGATAACAGTCAATATCTGCCCACAGTGCAGCCGTGCTGACAATGGCCGTTTAGGATGGTGCACAGTTAGTATAAACCTCTTTGGCAGCGATTTTCTGCCATGATACACCCCCCACCATTTCGTTGTTATCACAAATTGCAATCACCATCTCCTGAAATCGCGTTGAATTCTGAGAATTATTATTATTATTTTTTTTTTCAATAAGCGCCCGTATTCGCCAACAGGTAGACGTCGTTATCGCGCACGATCGTTTTCCTCCGTCTCCGAAGTGCCGAATATTTATTTATGATATTATATTATTATTGTTTTTACCGTCAACGGCGTTAAGTGCAATATGTGTACATAATACCATTAATCGACAGTTCGCCGCCGTCGTTTTATTGGTTTTTTTTTTTTATGATCGTTCGTCATGTTAGCGGTGCTGCTGTCGTCGCAAGTGCGTGCCAATGGTTCCGATATTTCGTCTAGGCTTTTGGTTTTCTTGACGATATAATGTCACGAATGTCGCGCGATACGTAGTATGTTATTATAATATAAATAGATTCGTGTGGTTTACCTATATTATAAAAATTTTTTCCTAGCTGCTCCCCCTAGGTAGCGATTTCCCGCTTGAGCCCGCAGTGATGAGAAAAAGTTTATTATATTATATCAATTGCGCATCGCGTCATGCAAATGTAGTACCCGCGTTTTATTGGAATTGTGTTAATGCCCCGGCGAACGTGTAACAGCTACCGTCGCTCTTCGTCCTCGAACTAATAAAGTGTCCGTTTTTTCGGCCTGAACGCTTGTCCCTGGAAAGTGATCAAACGCTACAGCTTCGTGGACCATGGCAAACCCAAGAAAGTTTAGCGAAAAAATCGCTTTGCACAATCAGAAACAAGCAGAGGAAACCGCTGCTTTCGAGAAAATCATGCGCGAAGTGTCCGATGCCACTACCGTCAAGGTATGTCGACATGATGAAAGTATATACAACGACTCGTTTCTTCTTTTCTTATCCCTTACCTCCAACCACCCACCCCCCACATCAATAAATGTTACTCAGAGTATGTACAAACTTTTATTATACCCAACTGTACCTTACAGAAACCACTGAATAAAAATAATGATGGGCTCGTATATTACATTTACTGATCAAAGAAAAAAATAACCACCATTATTGTTAGTCTTCAAATTATTGATTTATTGTTTAATTACAATTGTACCCTAGATATTATAATTATTATTCAATACCTATTAGGTAGGTACCTACCTAAGTAATTAATAATAATTAGAATCATCTAAATTTATTTAGTCAATTAAAATGCGTTAATTTATTAATTTACTATTTTGCAAACTGTAAATGAGTTGTATTTAATGATTTGTCATATACCTATTACATACATTTTTGATAGTCTATTCATGGGTATTGAAGACTTTAGTTTTTTCTGCTTACTTAGTAGCTAGCTACTTATTTAAAATGTTGTATTTGAATCCTATCAAAGAATTGTGTTTGTATCTTAAACCTACCTTTATTAATTTGTAATTTTCAACACGGTTTGTGTATCTACAACCGTGATTTTCAAATATTGTTGTGGACAACCATAGGTACAATATAGAGCAGTGGTTCTCAACCTTTTTTAGTTCACGGCACACTATTATACACCAAAAGTTTTAACGGCACACTCACGCACTTGACAACCACAACAACTTCGACAAATTCGCCGAAGGCATTAGTTATCGCCACGCGCCTATACATGTATCCGGTATCGTCTTATCTGCACAATTAGCACACAATTGGTCAATTGATAATTTCAATTTATTTCCGAAAAACTGTACAGTTCTAAAAACTACGTCGTATTAATCTACACTCGTATGATTTTATCTGTACAGATAAAACTGTTCAATCGAATCGTACAGTTTTAACTGCACGTGTGTAGGCTGTAGACGACGTAAACGTACAATTAAAGTTTAAAAATTTTTTTAGTGCGTAGTTTTTATTGTAATATGGATAAATTTATAGTAAAAAAAGAAAACTTGAAGATGGTGTACCATTGAATAGTAGCATCGAAAAGAAGGATGATCATGTTGCAAGTACAAGTGTTGTAAGTAAAGTGGTGCAGGAAAACAAACAACCTACTCCTATTTTAGTCCGTAAGTACCTTGATAACTATTTGAACTTTGGTTTTACATTTAATGGTCCTGAAAACCGTCCTGTACCACAATGTATCGTGTGTGGAGAAAAACTCAGCAACGAATCCATGGTCCCTAGTAAACTGAAAAGGCATTTAAGTAGTAAACATAGCCATCTACTTGGAAAAGATAAAAGTTACTTCAGTCGACTGTTGTCATCGGAAGAAAAACAAGCAAAAACAATGGTACGTAGAGCTACTATTAGTGAGAAAGCACTATTAGCCAGTTATAAAGTGTCTGAAATAGTAGCCAAACGAATGCAGCCTCACACTATCGCAGAAGACGTTATTTTACCGGCCTGCCAAGAAATAGTTAAATCTATGCTAGGTGACAACGCAGAGAAGGAAATATCTTTGGTTCCATTGTCAAACGATACAGTATCAAGGCGTATTGGTGACATGTCTTCAGACATCCAATGCCATGTGCGTGAAAAGTTAAGTGACAGTAGATTATTTGCACTGCAGCTCGATGAGTCAACTGATATAAGTAAGAAATGTCAATTACTAAGCTATATCAGATTCATTGATGACGACTCAGTTATCGAACAATTTCTGGCATGTTCTGAACTGCCCACAACGTCAACTGGAGCAGACGTGTATGATTCAATGTCCAATACTTTAACAGAAAATGGGCTATCTTGGAAAAACTGTCTTTCTGTTTGTACTGACGGTGCACCTGCTATGACAGGAAAATTCAAAGGATTTGTTGCTAAAGTTAAACTTTTAAAATTTTCCGAATGTGGGCTCAACACATTGCTTTATACACCGCGAGGCCCTAATGGTGAAAACTATTCCTGCAGAATTGAAAAGTGTTTTGAACCTAGTTGTAAACATGGTAAATTTCGTTAAATCGAGGGCTCTTAAGACAAGACTTCTCAAAGAAATGTGTCATGAAGCGGGATCTAAACATGATACTCTGGTTCTTCATACAGAGATACGCTGGTTGTCGAAAGGTAAAGTCCTGCAGAGGTTTTATGAGCTTAAAAACGAGCTGTCAAATCTCTTTAGCACTGAAAAACCAGACTTTGTTGCGTATTTGAACGATACAGAGTGGTGTGCCAAAGTAGCTTACTTGGCTGATATATTTTATCATTTAAACTGCTTAAATGAAAGTATGCAAGGAAAAGAAGAAAATGTCCTGACCTCAAGTGATAAATTGAAAGGGTTCTTAAAGAAACTACAAGTTTGGAAACGGCATGTAGAAAATAAAAGTTTAAAGATGTTTCCTTTAACTTTTGATATAGATCCTCAGGGGGACATAACCACTCAACTAGTTTTAAATCACCTTACAGATCTTGAGGACAGCATGGCACAGTATTTTCCCCATATCTCAGTTGACAAGTATAACTGGGTGCGCAATCCTTACGCTACTTCGTTAGAATCAACAGCTGACCTATCTTTTGAGAAAGAAGAACAGCTGGCAGAAATTCAGGAGGATAGAACACTACGAATGAAATATAATGAATCACCACTAATTAGATTTTGGATGTATGCAAAGACAGAATATCCAGTAATAGCAGATGAAGCAATCAACATTTTGTTACACTTTTCAACCACCTACTTGTGCGAGTTAGGCTTTTCAGCACTTACAAACATAAAAAACAAAAAACGGGAGAGGCTTCTTTCCGTTGATCAGGAAATGCGTGTCTGCTTGTCTTCAATTCGACCACGTATTGAACTTTTGTGTACGAAACGACAAGCTCAAGTTTCTCACTAGTAATTTAAAATTTATTCACTTTATGATATAAATATTCTTTTGTTTACTTTAAATATTATTACGCTGCTGTATTTTTAAAAATAAATGTCACGAAATAACACTGTTTTCAATATTTAATAACATTTCTCGCGGCACACCTAGACAATCTCGCGGCACACTAGTGTGCCGCGGCACACCGGTTGAGAACCACTGATATAGAGAAACAAATAAGTTGGTAACTGAAAGTGTAAACCATGTTTATTATGCACCTACCTACATACCTATCTAAATGTTTATAAATTATAACCGATTATAACTATTGGAATAATATAGGTATTCTCAAGTGTAGGTTTCCTTCTAACTGTAGCAAATAATTGTTTATACCTACCCCTATTTATACTTAATATTATTATAAATTAATCTATAAACTATAAACTACACTTCAATTGATTCTAAATTTTTTGTCTTTAAACAAATTATTTGTTAACAATATTGGTATACCATTTAAATTTTAAACTGTGATTATGTAATCTATAACATTAATATATAAGGTATATTCTATTATGTAATGTAGGTTTGTAATTTTGTAAACAAACATGTAAATAATTACCTACCATTTTATTTTTAACTTATGTTGGTACTTGTTTAAAATAGTTGGTACATTTTATATTTTAATATAAATGATTAAATTAATTATGTACAAATTATTTATAGATACTTAATAAAATTTATTTTAAAACTGATCTTTTAGAAAATTGTTATGTACAGGGGCGGGATACTGGGAACTTTCTTGTTAGGACGCTGCTAAAAAATAATTTGTTATTATTATAATATTTATAATAAAATCGGTATAAATATAAATTTAAAATTATAAATATTTTGAATTTTCGTACCCCTAACGCATGAGTAAATAATTCTGATTTTAGATTTTGGTTTGGCTGATTGTCCACCGTCCTCAGCACCAAAGCATCATAAGAAAATATTATTTATAATATTATTATAACTAGGGCGTGGATTTAAATATAAATTGCATTTTTCTGAATTGTCTAAACATTGTTTTCCAAGCAATATATTTGATATGTAGGTATATCAACAAATTGAAAATTTTTATTTTTATTTAGCATTTTTTTGCGATTTTTGGACATATCATTATGGTTTGAAAGCATTATTTGTACATTTTATAAGAACTTAAAAAAAATCGATATAATTTAATATATCTATTCTTATTACATATTATGTTTGATATTACTTCAGTTGCCAATAACTGTCAAAGATTTTTATTTGAAAATATTAAATAGCGTCTAATTTACCAGTGCTGTAATGAAACACAAAATATAACGAATATACCCTCTCTAAATTTTATTTTATATTCACTTAAATTATCTTTTCATTTTTAATATTATATGTATTAAATTGTATTTTTTAAGGCATTTTTCTTGTACCTATTTAAATCCACGCCCTATTTATAACTTGATCTGACATTTATTATACCATTCGATTAATATATCCACATCTAGCCAACGAGTAGGTATTTACTTAATACCTATTCGTTAAAACGTAGGTGGGTAGGTAATATATTGTACACAATAAAAAAATAAAATATTAATATTGTACACACTACCTACATAGGTAGGTAATAATAAAATAAATTTATAAAATTTACTTTGCTACCTATTTAAATTGCAAACTAAAATAAAGGGTGGTTTTGAAAAAATTAGAGAGAAAAAATTGAAACTCTTAGAGAAATCAAGTTTAAATACCTATGTTTTTCATTCATTGTGACCAGTGCCACCGGGGCAATGCTCCTGTAGAGGGCCGCTAATCGTTTTCTCAGGGGGCCCGGACGGTGCCTTGCATCCGAGCTTGCATCTATTTTTAAATGTTAAGGTTCCAACCCCCCCACCCATGAACACTTAACATACATCATATTTGTACTTAATTATAATAATTTATTGGGAACGGAACAAATCTAGTTTAGCACACACACAAATTTTTCAATATTTTTTTGAGGTGTCGTCGGGGCCCCCTGGGCTAACGATTAGCGGCCCTCTACAGAAGCATTGCCCCGGCTGCCCCTGCGGTTGTTGCGGCACTAATTGTGACTCAGTTATAGAGTAATATAATATAAGAAATAGATTATACTCAGCCCAGTCCGCCCCTAGCTATAAAATTAGTATTTGAAACTCTGGAATTCACCAATATATTTTTATAAACTAAAAATATAACTAACATTATAAACTTGGACAACCTGTTTTCTTAATAACCATTTAAGTTATAGTTAGTATATTATTAACTAGGTACCTATTAGTAAATTGAAAACCAAAAACCATTATTTTTTTTTAAATATCTATTTGGTATTAAGTTTAAAGTTGGCAACCGTGTTGCACATGTGCGGTAGTTTTAAGTGAATGGTGGATTAAGATTTTGTCATTTAATCACTGTTTGGTTCTTGTTTGATGCCATGTGAAACAGATTTATAATGAGTAAGTGCAACAATAAATAGTCTTACAAACCACAAAAATAGCATTTTTGAAGACAAAGGGGAGTTTGTTGCTTTTCTTGTCTGGCGTGACATTTAGGGGGCCGTTACAGTTTCATTCGTTGTCTCCGTCTTACAAGTGCGTAACATAGCAAATTTTACTCTCAGCAAAACATGTTTTCCCCCCTTTAGTTTGAAAGCGAATTGACCTCTTATAAAATTTAAAGGTAAGATTATTATCTGGACAATGGCATAGGCTTTTTATTATATTTTAATTTTAAAGCGAGTTATGAGTATTTTAAGATGTACAAACAGTTTAAAATTTTAAAATACACATAACTCGCTTTAAAATTAAGTAGGTTAGGTTATGACGTTAGGATTGCTAGGTTACGAACTTGTAAGACGGAGACAACAAATGGCACTGTAACGTCCCCTTAATGTGCATTATCTAACTAAGAAAAAAAATTTATCATTCATGAATAAAGATATAGGTTTGTCCTGTGGAAAATATATTTTTATACATCTAAAAATTGTTTAGTTTTAGCACAATTTAATCTGGATAATTATTCATCATTCACTCTATAATCATGCACCGAGTTACCTAGGGTAACCTACCTAGAGTTACTGAGCACCTACTTAATATTTTTATTGTTTAATGTTCGTTTAGGTTATAGTAATGGCCAATAATATTGATGTAGTGATACTTATCTTATGTTTTTATTATATAGGTAACAAAAAAATAGCAGAAATGTATACAGGCTAATTAATTTCAATGTGTACCTAATGTATTATATGAGCGTCAGTAATTTATTATAAACCTTCAATACCAAATGATTAGGTAACTATTGGGGCGGCAGAAAACAAAATGCGCTCTGGTGGAAACAATTTGTACTTTCCGATTCGGGATGTATAGATATAGTTTTATATTGGTTATTTTACTTTTTATAATAAACTAATTTTGTTATCGAAACTTAATACACTTTTATAGCTAACTGTGTTCATTGGTAGTACAATTTCTACTAATATTATCAAAAACATTTAAACACACTTCACTTAAAGCAAAATGTCGGGAAAATACCTATACACAGGGGGGGACCCGCCAAACCATTAGTACGATAGACTTCAATAACACTCCCAGTGTTAATCTGCCTTCCAAATAATTTATAATTATTTTATTTGTATCACCCTCTTTATTTTTGAAAACAGTATCTACTTTCAATTTCTATAATCTATATAGAATAGTATACATCATTTCCAACGTTCATTTCTAAAAAGAATATTAAAAAAAAATCTATGTGCAAATCTAATGTAGAATATGACTTATAACTTTAACAATTTGTATTTTAGACTAAAAGAATGGAGAGGGATAAACATTTGTTATCTATTTTTTGATGATACTTCTCAATCCTTCCAATTTAAAGTTTAGATCATTATATTTGTAATAAATATAATATATATAATGAATTAAATAATAGTGATCTGTACACTAGCAGATCTCATTCATTACTTATGTTTTGGACCCTACCAATTAGTGGTGCCGAAGACCGTGCTAACGTCTAACATTTTATTTACGTTATAACTTTGTTATGAGCATGAATATATTTAAGCCATGATTATGAGTAAATGTCTATTAGGGTGGGCACCTCTAAATAAAATAATTAAGACATAAATTGAGACAGTGAAGTTTTGAAATGGCCCTACTGCATTTTAAAAACTTTGGCGCCACTGATACCAATTATTTTTAAATAACAAGTTCCCCCTTGACAATCCAATATTTTCCTAGGTGATAATTTGTTATGTTATATAATTAAACATGCAGGATATATAAAATACAATAAGGAATTATGTGTATAAATTGTACAGTAATTTTTAGGAATTGCATTATTTTTTTTTTAATTATAATTTTAAGTGAAGGATAAATTGATTGATATATTATATAGGGTTTTATATTTATCTAATAAAAGTATATGTCTTTGTTTATATATTTAAAAACTGAAGTAGTTACTTACCTGCTATGTCATGAAATTGTGCATGTCAAATGAGTGTTACACAGTAAAGTTGCCAGTATATTGACTGTCAAGGTAAACATTAAAACAGTCTACAAATGTAAAATAAAAATAAATAACTGCTGTTTGAATAAAATAATTACATAGTTAGGATGTGTTGTATACATTAACTTACCTGCCAGCAACTTAACATAGCAGTTTAATATTTTAATCAAGATTTTTTAAAATTCCTTTTGAATATAAATGTAAGTGCTTTTATGTTATATTTAAAAAGCTAGACAAGATATAGACGTATATTATGATTATTAGTTGATTACCTCAGTGTAAAATCTATATATCCTTATTATACAATTGAGAGCAATACAATTTAAAAACAAATTATTCTTAAATTTTAGATTTTAAAGTTGGATGATGTATAAGAGGATGTGATACCTGCATGAGTTGTCTTACAAGTGAGTAACACACAACATTTTACGCTCAGCAAAACATGTGTAAATCTGTTAATTTAAAAATTAGACTGCATTGAACTCTTACAA